AAGGAAAAAGCAATCTTTCATTGCATTATACAGATAAAACAATCCAATCCTTCATGCCACATTTTGTAAACCATGATATAAATTACACTCACAGTCAAATGAACAGGAAGAGTAACTCCCAAAATATTTTAAGTTGCTTTTAGGGCAGAAATAAAGGCAGAAATAGAATCATTTAAAATATATCAAGTTTAACCAAAATTCATTTGGTCAAGCCTGCTATCCAAATAGTTTTGTTTCCCGCAAAACTATTTTTGTCTTTTTTGAATTATGAAATCTAAATGTTTCTTTTAAAATTAAATGCAAGTCACGTTGAGCTACATTAAATCCTTTTATACTTGGATCATTTTTGCCTTGAGACCCAAACATCTTTTATTTATCTACACACACATACACACTCAAACAAACACACACACACACTCTCTCTCTCCACCAGGAAATTCCTCATTTCACAGGAATAAAGAAACACTCACATACTGATTTCTGTCAGGAACATAAGAAATATACAAACTCATACTTTTCAGGGTCCTACAAAACCATCTCTCACCTATATACAAACTTTTACTGATGGAATTGAGGCTATGGTCTTTGATAATAAAGGGACGGAAAAGATGTAGGATAAAGAAATACTGTATAATCATTGAAATAAACCTATTATCCTAATTTTATCTGTATGCTTTTTTTTTTTTTAATTGAAATACAAAGAAGGCATATGGACTTCTGGAAAATAACACTATATAGGAAATGCACTGTAATAGTGTTCCACTATATATATCACCAGGTTTTCATAATACAATTTCTTCTGTACACTAGATTTTATACTAATTTCTCTGTCTTCAAATTCATCAATTTCCAGATCCAATTCAGCACTACATAGTATGCCTCCAAAATAAAACGAGGTCACTTGCTTTACTGAATACCATGTTCCTTGCCAGACAGCATTAAAAAAAAGACAAGACTACACAAAGTCCAGTATAATTCATTTCTGACAATGCAAATTTCAACCCCTTATACTGTTGTAAAATTCCTCCTACTGAAATGCTTTACTACAATAATAATAATAAAAAGCATACATTACATATAAAAGATACCAGTGTACTAAAAGTGACAGAAGTGGACTAGCAAATCCTTCAAAGCACGTATTATATAAATGACTAGCATTTAAAAACATTTTTTTTCTATAAAATGTAGGTCATGTACATTTATAAATTGGGGGTAGGGGGTTCCAAAGCAGTGATGACTGTTCAGATAGTTATGCTGCTCTGTACATTCTGTTATCTATTCAATTCAAACTATAAGTTTGAGATATAGATTATTTATTGGAATATACCCATCTCATAGCTCATAATTTGAAAAATACGCAACTCAAATGAAGAGGTGACTTGTAAGTTGACTGTTTATCTGCATATCAAATAAGAAGAGAACTACTCCTTTCTACTGGAGGCCAAAGTCTCATCAGTTCAGTATCGGGACTTAAAGACTCCAGGTTTAAGCGGAGGAATTGTCAGGAATCGGCACAGAAGCAGAATAGTATCTCTCATCCTTTAGAGACACAGCTATTCAACTTTTGCAGTCTTCCTCAACTTGCAGAAGTGCAGACAAGCCATTCATTTCTTACTCAGTGTGTACGGATGAAGCCACAGACTGTCCCCTATGTGACTGAAATTGTGCTGTGTAAACAATGTTATATACTCCAGCAGGAGGACATCTGAATTTATTTATTAAAAAATGATTAAGAATATTCATTAATTCAAACAAGGCTATTAACTCCCAAAGGTATTTTTGGAACTTATCCTTATGCTACTTGTAAAGTTAGCACTGTTGTGTATTATTGCTTACAATCAGTACATCATCATATGCCTTCTAACAGAGCGGTACTGTGATCAGTTCATAGGTATTTACAAGCTTTTTTGTTTTGTTTTTAAACAAGCGATAAAAACATTACATACTTTACAGACAATACAAATACTCAAGTCAAACAAATGGAATGCATAACAATAAGAAACGTCAAAAAGGAAGACTGACATAAGTCCTTGATTGTCAAGACACATTTATATTTATATATAAACTCTAGCTGTGCAGAATCAAAGATTCAATCATAGGTACATCCTTATTTGATAAATCATATTTACAGCATGATATTGCATAAAAAAATAAAATAATGTTGTTTACACAATATTACCTTTCCATCCATTGGATTAAGGAAAGCAAGAAACAACTCTTAGAAATGTTTTCTTGCCTCAGTTTGTGTTTCCTACCAGAAGATGTAATTTTATAAAGGAAACAAGGTTTTATATGCCAAGTAGAGCAAAAGCTAATATAAATTTATTTCCCTGACACAAAGCAAATTAAAACTGGACAAAAATTTGAATTTTAACCTAAAGACATCTTTCCATTAGCAGTAATACTTTCTTAGTACTTGTCCTTTGCAAAGTGAGTTTTAGCTAAATGCATTACATGCCTAACATAAACATGCATTATCGTAAGTTGAATGAACTTTCAAAGTTACAAGGCTTCATTTTAGTAAAAAATAACACTAGGAAACTGTAACGTTATTCATTTGCTTCAGTACCGACCATGTAATTTGAAAGTTCACATGTGGACTGGTACCGACTTGCATAAACATATTTCTGCTCGTTAAAATTTTCAAACGGATTCCCAGGAGTATTAGGTTTTTCCCTCTGAGTTGTAATGGTATTAAAACAAGCAAACACAGAATAAAAATAAAAATAAAAAAACAAAACAAAGCTCTCAAAGCCAAGAAAATTTAGTTAGCAAATATACATACATAAAGTAGTCCAATGCTGCAAAATTCAGAGTGAATTCATCCAAATATTCTGATTCATTTCAAATAGTTACTACATATGATACAAATACTATAAAAATATTCTGAACAAGCATGTTATATAATGTATCTGTCCAGGTGGAAATTTTTCATAGGAGAACATGTATACTTTAGGATAAACTCCAAAAGTTACAGCAGAACCCCAATAATTTGCAGCAATGGCTTAGAAACCCTTTACAAATGATAATTCTGAAAACAGTGAAGAAGCAGGCAATGAAAGCAAGGATGTCACATCATAAAATGTACTTTGTTCATTTATTTTGACAACTGTAATTTAGGTTTCAATACTTCTTCTACCTCCCAGTATACTTGTATAAATTCTGTAGTATACTTGGGTGAAGTCATACAGTATTTCTAATAGCAGACCTCGCTACAGTACTTTTTAGACTATTGCAGAGAGGTGGGGAAGAGACCATTGGGGATGTATAAACCTACTGGATGCTCTGATTAGCAGTCAGCGAATTAGCAAGATTTTACTGTACGTCTCAATTAACAATGAAAAGCTCCCGTCATCCAAAAAATTGACAAGTATAATCTAAAAATAATACAAGTGCCATTTCACATGAATACTTTCTTGTCCTATTTTCTTCTTGAAACACCATTTTCCTAAAGACAACACTAGGAGACACAAGATCATAAACATAGTTCTTTTATCATCCAATTTAAATTGTTTAGGTTGATATTCGTAAACCAACATACAGTAACACACATGGTTAATCCTTCTCCCCAAACCTTGTCATTTATGATTAATTCATTCTCAAATCAAATGAAGAAAATGTAAATGCCTATTAGTATACCATTACGATTCCTTCATTGTCTGTTATATTAATGGTAAAACATATCAAAGGGCTCATGCTAAAAGGGACACTGTCAAGTAATTTAGGACCAAAATATGGTCTATTAATATATGTGTGTATATATATATATGTACTGCACATATAGTTTGGTAATAAATGTAATCAATTTCCTCCTTTCTAAAATCATCATTGCTCTATCACTAGGAGATATCCCCAAAAAATTCCACCTTACACACACACAAACACACACACACTCTCAGTGCTTGCATGACCTTTACGTAGGAGCGTTTGTTGTTAGATCTGTGGAATATAAATGCTCACCCCAGCTTTACGTGGACTGACTGAACAGTATCAGTCTATGAAAAGAACAGAAAAAGCTGCTTTTTCCCAGATACACACAGAAAACTAACAAAAATGAGCACAGACCAGATCAAAATGAAGAGTGTGACTTTGTAGCAGATCAAAAGCAGCAAAACATCAGCAGTGGAAAATGTTACTCAATAATGTAATTATTAACAAGCAAAAACTTCCTACATAGTTAAACCTCCCAAAACTACATACACACTTCATAATAAGAGGGCATATGCTTGGGAAATCATTGCTGTATACAGTTGGTTATCTCCTGCAGTACAGAAAGCTTCAAGTATCAGTGGATTAACTACTCGCACCACTGCTTTAATTGTACACGTGGAAGAATCCTGTAAGACAGTCCCTGTGGGCTAGACAGGGACTGCAACATCTATCCTAAGGCACGGAGTAGGGCTGTAATGGCTCAGCAGCAGGCTAGAGAATAAGCTGCAACATAAAGAATAACAGTTCCCCAGGTGAGTGCCACTTTGTTCTGAGCAAGTTCCTTCAACTCTTGGAAGCCAAGAGCGCTTGTTCCCTCACACACCCCAGAAGTAATTCCCAAGTGTGAAGATGGCACGGAGTGAGAACTACTCCTTCCTACTCCTCAGTCACTTTCCCACAGCATACTATCAATGTAGTAACTTCTGAAAATAAAGCTGAGTAGATCTCCTCAGGGAGAAGGAGGTTTTGTTCTGTGACCTTCCTATGGGGCCAAAGAAGTGCAGTAATCATCTAGCTTTTTTTTTTTCTAGCTTTTGCTACTTGTTGTATTTCACAAATTAATGTCCATCATCTACTTGCAACAGGTCATTAGAACAATGATGCCAACACAGTATTATTCAGGCAGCACAAGATAGGATGTCATGTAAATGAAACACTGAAAACGAAACACGCATTACAAGAGGTGGCTTCCAGCGATACTGGGGCCAGATGTATTGTGTTTGTGCAACACAGAATGGAAAGTCAAAAAACCAAACTGACCATAAAGGAAGAAAAACAGAGACATGAACCAGTTTTAAAATATCCTTTAAAGAAATTTCTTTACACATATCATTAATAATCCATGAGAAATTTACTTTTCTCCCTTGATGCTCATTCTTCATGAATCAGGGCCAAATACTCAGACAAAATTACTGGCAAGTCATAGCATGCTGAAACACCTTCCTATATTATACACAGGATCAATGAATCAAAACAGAACCTATTTTGTTATACAAAAGTATTAAGTTTACATAAATTGTATTTCTTGTCAGTATAAGAAGCAAACTATGGATAATAAACATACTTTCTCCCTCAACTGTACCAGGTGAAGGAAGCGCTGAAACAGGGCTACCATTAGGGAAAAGAGACGGATGAGCTTCCTAGTAATGAAAATTAAAAATACTGCTACTGCTTTGGGAAGAGGTGGGAACTGCTGTATGATCTTCTAAAGTCCTTTCTTAAAAGGATGTATTTTAGCCCCTTGAGACGCAGTCTTTTCTCCTAGCTGATGGTTTCATTTGAGAGATACCACCTAGCAATACGGCTATAAAAGGATGTATGCAATCCTATTTAAAAAAGAAACACAACCACCATATACATACATACCTATATATATATATACATACGTGTGTGTGTGTGTTTTTACCTGGTTAATCAGCCTAAATTAGGCTTAAACTGCCTTAAACTACCAGACAGTGTCCCTTTAGGGAAGGTGCAAAAAAACGAACATACAGTTCAAAATCTGTAACTTGTTAAACTATACAATAGTTATGCTACTCAAATATTACCACCTTAAAAATGCACACGTAACTACTTATCGTACCATACTGTATACTTCAAGACAAAGTACTTTTCAAAAAAACATATTCATGGTACAGGGATAAACTTGGTAGTTTATTTATATGGTGAAATGCAATGAAAAGTTCTGATCACTTGCCTATGCTGGAAAAATAAATCCTGTTCACTAGCATTATTCAGCAGTTCTGGTTGGTAAAATTGTAATGACTTCCACTAAGCAAGCACTAAAAAGGTAGGGAATTTGAATTGAATGCCCACTTCTTCAGCTTTCAGGGGGTACTTCAATAAATTTAATTATCTGAATTGTCAAAGTTCTAGAAAGAGAATTAAAATGTTTTTTTATGGAAGCAAAGTGTACCCAATCTCAGGTATACTGAAAAGAATTACTGTATGAGAAGAAAATGATGCAACCATATCAAACCTAAAAATGGTTTTATTTTTTGAGAAATCAAAACTATGAAGTTGACTAAGTGCTCTATGCTAATCATTATGAGTATGTAGGGTAAGATACAATTAAGCTTTTAAACCTGGAATACATAAATTGTGTAAGCATTACGCAACTGGGAATGTCAGCTACAGAGTATTTTAACTAAAACTTCAGAATCTTGGTATCTGTGTATGAAAAAGTCATTAAAAAGTTACATCTAGATTCAGCTGTACAAAGAAATACACATTACTTCAGGAATGAAGTAAAGGCTTTAGCAGTTAGGCATTTTGCTTTAAAAAAAGTGTTTAAAATATGTTAAATTAATCAGACTTTTAAATAGTAGTCTACCAGAAATCAATTTTTCCTCCAAACGCAACTCAAGGTAATGTAAAGTATAAATAAAAGGGCACATGGTCTACAATTATTTTTGAGAGAGATGGGCAAACGATTCTTTCTTTAGAAAATGCCATCTTTTAAAGCCGTATTTGCCTTTGAACCTTATCATTTATTCTGTGTGTTCAGTACATGTTGATTCCCTGCTGAAGAGCAATGACTATGCTGACAAGCTTAGAAATGACAATATGAATAGTGTCAGACAATAAACTGTCCTCCCAAAGCACAGAAGGAAACCAGTAAGGAAACAATCATGGGGGAAAGTCTTACCTGGGGATTTCGTTTATTTAAAATTTCATAGAAGGTAAAATATTTTCTGGATTCAAACAAGTGAATAACAAACTGCTTTTGATAAGGGCACCAACATCAGGCAGTTCAACAACTGCTAACAAAATAAAGAAAATAAAGAAAAAAAAAAAGAAAAAAAGGAAGCAGTTATTGGTCTTGCTAATATCAGCTTAGTTTTGTTTTAACATAGCGCTCTTAAAAGCTGTACAGAACTCCATCTTATACAGAGCAACCCCCTTTTGATAAATGTGTTCTAAAGTGCCAGTATTATTTACAAAGGTTTCTCAGCCAAAAGTCTGGCCTGTTGTGGCATCAGGTGAAGAAGTCATCCCAGCTCTGCTATCGTTTACATTCACCAAGGGAAATTCTGGGAAATCAGCACTCGTCCCTGGTCCCCGAAGGTTCACCTGTCCATTGGCAGTGCTAAACTGAGATGATATTCCAGCTCTTGCCCCATGGTACTGAGCTCTAAAGGGCTGCTCAAACGAGCTAATCTGATATGCTTGATGAACAGGCTGTGCCTCTGCTTTCTTCTGAGAAGTTACTTGATCCAAGAAGTCCTGTGTAGAGGAGGAAGAAGAATGATTTGCCTCATCACCTGAAAAGGGAAAAGGGTGCTGCGAATCACCAACAATTAGTCCAAAATGAGACTTGTCTGGAGTTGTTCTTAATGGAGAGTTCATTCCCGATCGAAAGCTATTGACGGGTATAGATGTGTAGACCTTCTCCATGGAAGGAAATGCTGGCTGAGTTGTAAGAGTCTGGTTATCAGTCACAAAATTAAGGCTTGGGTTGTTCAAATAGGCATCATTTTGGCTAGTTCTGTCCAAAGCTTGTTGTAAAAACTTTGAATATTCTTGTAACATACTAGCTTTATCTGATGAGGAAGCTTGAGAGCTTGTTCCAACAGTCTCAGATTGGGTGACCTCAGATACTTCAGAAGAATTGATTGATATACTGGAAGTCACCTCAGTGTCAGCCACACTGAAAGATATCTCATGCTGTCCATTAGCCTTGTGTGAATAATGATCTAGCAGAGTCTGCAGTACCTCATCTGGAATGACATTTTTGTCATGGTTACCTTTAATTTCAACATTCAGTGCCTGTGTGTCTAATATTGAGGCTGTAGCAGTTTCATCAATGACGCTGGCCACAGCCGCCTGCGTTACTGAAGGCTGAGATGCTATGGTACTTACATTCAAGGCATATTCTCTACTGTTATTACTAGCTGCTTGTAGATATCGCTTTTTCTTTAAAAACTGCATTGCATCATCATAATTAGTGCTGCTGTGTACAGGCTTACTGGGTCCTTCCTGTAATGTGTCAACTTGATCAATGTCAGCATTACCTTCAGAGTCCAGTAAACTTTGCTTATCCACAAGATCAAAGGCATACTTTGAAACCTTGTTGTCTTCATATGTAGATAAGGGTGAAATGGTTTGACTTTGCTCAAGTGGCTGTTTCAGACTCCTCTTGCTGTTAACCTTTTTGAGAACAAGTTTAGGTGGGTGTATTTCTCCAGAGTTTGCTTCTTCTAAGTGCGTTCCACTGACCGAAGAATGTGGCATCTCAACAGCATATTCCGCTACCATATATTCATCTTTTACTTTAGTACTAGAAGAGTACAATGGCAAATAGTCATTTTTGTCCTTCTTCTGTTCCAATTTATCTGCACTTTCCTTATCCCCAGATTTTGTCTTCTCTGTTTTCTGCCTTTTCTTCTTTGGCAAGGAGCTGTCTTTCATAGGCGTAGAGAAACCAGAATCTTCCTCTGATGGCAAGAAGCCAACTTTGGTGGCACTTCTGTTTGGTTTCTTGTCGCGGTTTTCATGGCACATACGTTTATGTTTCAGCACACGATCAGTCCTGGAGAAATACTGCAAAAGATTATATTATTTTGTTATTTATAATTATTATAATTCTTGGAAAATATATTGCTGAAAAGAAACCTTTCATTCTAACTAATTTACTTGATAATTCACCCACTTTCCTGATTTCTAATAAAGTGTCAAAAAATGGTATGTAATCAATAAAATTAAGCAGACAGTTGGGACTGCTCCAGCTGTGCCTCAAGACCAAATACCTCAACAGAAAAAAACATTTGTTATACATTTCTTTGCATGCACATGACTGCAAGACCTGGTGAAAATCCTATCTGTACTGCTTGGCAATTCGCTGGTGTTTTGTTTTGCAACTGCGAAAGATTTTACTAAGTCATCTTACCTGCAAACAATATTCACACTGGTAAGGCTTCTCTCCACTGTGCGTTCTTTTGTGCCTTTCCATGTGATACTTCTGAATAAACCTCATACCACATTCATCACAACGAAATGGCTTTTCACCTAATAAAAACCACATAGCAATGTTAATCTAAAAAAACCCAAAACCCCCTATCTTCTTCCATACAATTACCGGCTCAAATATTACATTCTCTATCAGAAATAATAAAGAGGATTTAGCCTGTTGCTATGAAAAACAGCATAAGGCTTGCTCACATCACTATTTTCCCACCACTCTGTAGTCAATGCCTCTAACTTACTTTAAGCTTTTACACTGAAAAAAACCACCCCAAGCCAGCCACCACTTTCAAATCTAAATTCTTGCACCCTCTTTTTAATGTAGGTGCAGGTATCTGTCTTAAACCTAATAAATGAAGAACTGCAAGGACAGCTTTCCTGAACTGCTGCTGCTGCATAATAATTTTTTTTTAGGGCAGCCGACTGTATAAATAGACCTCACTTCTCTCACCAGCTCATTAACTCAAACCCACCCCTTCTAGAAGAGAATTATGCATTTCCAAGCTTTTAATTTAACATTTCAGTATGGTGCTCTGTACTTTCCATATTTTTCCTTTACCTGTATGCAGCATTGAAATAACTGCTGTAATAACAGCTATTTTGGTTGGAAAGGAAATTTATTTATTTATTATGAATTAAAATATTTTAAAAATTAAGCTGAAAACAAGGCACCTCTGTAGCTGGACAGACATTTGCATACTTACAGGCTTTTCTGTTTGGTTGGGATGTTTTGCTTTTTTTTTATTTTTATGAAATATTTGTTCAGACAATATTCATTGCCCTGAATTCATCTTCAGTTTCCCCCTTATTTTTCCTCTCAAAGAAGCTCTGCAGTGATCCCTAATGACCCTTTCAGAACCTGGAGTAACTTTTTCTTAAAAAACAACCTTTTGTCTTACATCTTCCCTCCAGTATTTTTATTTTCTAGGTTTCTCTAAGAAAAAGACCAAGTGAATTGAAAAGCTAGGTTTGCTTTTACAAAAGTTCACTATTATTTAATAGAGCTCATCTTGAACAACATTAATATTTACTACGAAATAGTTTTGAACTGGATTGTCTTGGCAGCATCTATCAACATCCTCTTTGTTCTGATACTGTACTGTACTGTACTGGGTTTGGGGATATACATAATCTATCTTCTGTCTCCAGAAATATGCAGTTTCTATTTTTCTGAGGAAGTTTTATTATTAAAAAATATTTTATGAGATAATTTATTACATTTTTAATAATAAATACAAAATGTTAATAAATTTTATTATTTACAATGTTATTAAAGTGCATATTTTCCATTTAGAGATATTTAGCCATCCTTCCACAAAAGGAAATATGGTACCTCAAAATAAAATATGGGTATTTATAGAAACTAGAATGGAAGATATCTGTATCACTCACACATTTGCTTCTATTCAAATCATTAATGCCCAGTTTCAACCTTCTTAATTCCAAACTATTTCTATATCTCTGCCTTTTAAGCCTATGCCCTATTTCCAATTATTCTTAACTCTCCATGTGGCTTTTCAGCAAGTCCCTTTCTTGGATTAAATTATTCCAAATTATTCTCTCCTAAATCAAATTATTTGCTCTCCTAAGATCTCTCAGCTTCTATCAGTTTTTCCTATAGGCTCACAACTCAGCATCCTAAGCCTTCTTTCACATTTAGTCAGAGACTAATTTTTACCATTTCTTGCTTATTAATAATTACTGTAAAAATCCAGGGTTTTTTCAGCACCCTTCATAAATTATAGGGCCTACCATATAATCCTCTCATGTACTGTCTATAAACACATCTTCCTCTCTGGCTTATTTCTTAACATTCAAACTCCAGTTTCATTCTTCATGTTCTCTTTATTTGCTGTGCACCTTTACTACTTCAGTGCTTTACTTCAGTGCTTTACCACCAGCCCTGTTGAGACTTCCTCAGTTTTTTCAAAGTCCAGTCCTTGTCTTCATTTTTAAAGAAGATGAGCCAAGACGTTTAGTTCTCATTGTTCTTGTTTAATACACAGCAACTCTTCCATTCTCAAAGATGACTACTTAATCCTTGTTACTTACTGTTTTCTTTCCCTTTGGCCCATTATTCTACTTTGTGTTTCTTTTAAATTGCCCCTGCAAGCCCCTACAAACAACCCTCCTTACACGGCCTGGAAGTTTGGTTTCATGCTAAAATCTTAGATTTTAGGTTGGGATTTGTTTTGTTTTCTTTTCTTTTTTTAGAGAAAGGATCAGTTGTTTGAAATGAAAACTCTCCTGAGCCTTAGGGAAGCCAAAACACGACAAAGAAGCAAGACAGCTCAGCTTTGTTCAAGCTTTGAACTGCCCCCTAAGGAGTTACCCTGTTATCCAAGAAAACGCAGAGCACTTCATTAATGCACTTACCTTCAGCCTTATACCCATTTCTGCAAATGAACAGTCACAGAATTCTGTAACATTTCTCTGCTCAAGCTAGCTATTTGCTGGCAGAAGACTCTCCCAGCTACCTATTCCCATTTCAAGGCTTAAGCAGGGCCAAACAGGGGTTCTGAGTTTTTTCATTGTAGTACATTACCAACAACAACTATTTTGGAGTCTGGTACCACTGCTGGCCACGCCTTAACAGGAAGAGAAGTCTGGGGACACTGTCCTTTAATTTAAGCCCTTGAATTTCAGCACAACACAGAAAATAGTATTTTTCAGTAGAATTCCAGAATGCTCTGGAAGTAAGATTAAGAACACTTTGTGAAACTGATACCATACTTAATTGTTGCTTTAATCTTCACAAGGAAGATAATATTAGGAAAAGATTAAAAATTAATACGCAGATATGCTTCATATAATAATTTCTCTCTAGCAGAAGCTGGAAGCTTAAGATGCCTTTTGCAACTTTGCTGTACTTTTCAAAGAGGATCTACTGCAGATGGAAAAGATCATTAGTAACAACCTTTTTCTAATGTAGGAAGAACCTAGGAGATATCTTTCTGAAATGTGTTGGTGAGTGGGAAAGAATCAGGTATAGAAAGAAGGTCAAAATTTAAAAGTACAAAGCAATAATTATATGCATTATTCTCAAAACCAGCCTATGTTTTGTGTCTTCATTGGAAAGCTGTTAAAACCGAGCAACAGAACTATTTATAAAATTTAGTACAAATACCGTATGTATGAAGGCTATAACAAATATAAACCCCCAGGCATTTTAAGTATCTAAACAGAGAAAATAAAAATTATAAAATACCAAAGAAGGCAACGAAAAAGCAGCATGACTGAATAATGAGGCACTTGAATCGTTAACCCCAGTGTTGCTTTATTCTTTTTTTAATGTAATCTCATTTTTTGTGTTTAAAATGGGAAGTAGGGTGGGTTACAGAATCAGGACACATGAATGCATGAGTGGGTAAGGTGTATAGACACATCCCCAAGCAAAAAGAAAGCAGACATCTTTGAAGAAAAAAACCAAAACCATTCAGCATCTGTGAGCCTAATAAACTCAAAATATGAAAATATTTGTGTACCAGCAACTCTCCTCTCTCTTGCAACTGACATGGCAATTTTCTGTATCATTAGCGACAAGTTTAGCAGCAGGGTTCTAGCACTGCTGCCCTCCTCAACAGACAATTATTTCTAGTAAGTGAATTTTGGCTTAATGCAATGTCTGCTTTTAGATGCAACTATTTAATTATTTACACAGAATAAGGCTGTTCATTGATTGCTTCCTAACTCCCTCATAACATTTCCTTTGAAGGAGTAGTTCAGAGAATCGAATTCAAATCACACGGGAACTAGCTGGAGCACCTGTAAATTCAGGGCTTGTAAACAGGCATAAAATGGGGCTTCTAAGCGTTACCACTGTCTCCAGTGGGGTTAAAACAAACTAGAAAATTTGATAAACATCTTTAAAAGAGTAAGAATCAACCTGTTTTTTATCAGGGTTTTGTAGACTCTGCAAAAGTTGGTATTAAAAGTGGTTACACAGAGAGACAAAAATGCTAAATAAAAAGAAAAAAAAAACAGTATTGAATTTATAAGGAATATTTCTTTAAAAGTACAAATAATACAAAGAGAGCTTCATTTTATTTCCATCAAAGTGAAACACAGACCCACTGCTCACCCTCTGGTGAGAGAAACAAGCTGAAAATTCAGCTGTTCTGGATGGGCTAAATTATGCAGTCCTAAACAACAGAGTAATGCTACAAAAACAGCTAAAGCCCAAAAGTGGATATTGTCACATAGAAGTGAAAGCACAGACAGGTATGTAGAATGCCGATTAGCTACACTGTAACTAGGCAAAACCCAAAATTAAGCAGTAGTTAAATACTTGCTAGCTAAATAGACTTCAAAAACATTTTATCCACTTGTGGAAGCTGGGTCTTACATTTTCTCCTAACCACCTACTAGTTGTCACCTAAGAAAACACCTGTAATTCAGCAATTTAAAACACAAGCACAATCTTCAGTTTCCTGAGAAACAACCAAATATATCTCAGGATGCTGAGGAAAGGAGGAAAACATAGTTATCTAATACAGTCAGATAACAATATAGTTAATTTGTTAAATGGCACCTTTTTCCCTGCTAAACAGAGACTAGTATGTTTAAGAGCTAGGAAAAAACCCTGAAATCCCACCACCCCCTCCCTCCAAAGCTTACAATCAACACAAAATTCTCATTAAAGCTAGAAGTTGAATTAAAAAAAGTAATTAAATGTGTTTATAAAATATTTGCAGTCAAGTGTTAATTAACTGAATCACCCAGACTCTCATTTTCAAAGCCACGTACAGGGAATAATCCTCATTAAAAAAAAAAAATCATCTGAAAAACATGGAGACTGTACTTAAATTTTTGCCTTTTTTTGGAGGGTAAAGGGGAGAGGGCTGGCCAGATAGATGGAAGAGAGTGAATGAGCATTCTTTTCAAGAATAGTATCTACACAAAGTGGAGGCAGCATGGTTCACCAATTCAGAGCCAGAGGAAAGACTAGGAGCAGAACAAAGACACTGGACAGAAGAATGGAGGACTCTTCTGTGGCTGACTGGCTGAAGGAAACCTACTTAGTCTGGACTCATGGCAACCTAGGATACAAAAATCCCATAAACAACAGGGCATTTGTGCATGTAACTCCCTGTACACTGCTCTGAAAATTCATCTCACAGAGTTTTTTCTCCCTCTCAACTCTTACACATGCACACACTGCACTGCGTGTTAGTAGCTTTCATATCCATTTAAATAAATGCTACAGCCAAGAAACACTGTGCACATTCACCAGCTCTGCTTTTCTGAAAAAGAGGCTGAGAAACTGGCATCTAGTCCAAAGGGACCATATCACAAAATATTTAAAGAGGGATTGAAAGGCCATGCACCAAAATGCCAAAAACCCAATGAAGACAAACCTGTCCAAGAATGTGGTTTCGTGCAGTGCAAGAAGATAAAAAAATAAACATGTATAAACTATTACTCTTTTTGGCTTAAAACTTTGGGCCTTATTTGACCTATACTACCTATTTTTAAACTAAGGCTCTTAGAACAGTTGTGAATTAAACCTTTAAAAAAAAAAAAAAAAAAAAGGCGAGAAGTAAATCTGATACCAACACCTCTGGGGTTAGGCATTTTGGCCATTTTAGTCCTGGCACTTTTCCATCAAATTCCAAAATAAAGAAATAAATTACTGAAATGCAATTTGGAAGTCCCCATTATCTGAATTAACTTGGTACAACAAAGAACTGCTTAACAAACTTTGACTTCTGTGAACATACAAACTTCATGGTTTGTTACTCCATGATTCTTTATAGAATACTACTTTCAGATTTGCCTACTGGAGTTTACAGCCAAAGAAAAGTGGAGCAAGTTGAAAGCACAACACTAATTTATTTTTTAAAGTTTTATAACATCTGTTAAGTTAAAACAAACTACAACAGGGTTTTAGGCTGCATACTTATTACCAGAAACCTTGCCTGAGTGGGGAAACAGTTTTTAAGCACGCCAGTAAAGATACTCAAGGCACTATACTCACCAGTATGAATCTTCTCATGCCTCTGTAGCAGGTACTTCTGTATGAAACGCATGTCGCACTGACTGCACTGAAATGGTTTTTCACCTTGAACAATATAATGCCACATCCATAAGTTAATAACTACACACTGTTGTTTCTGATAACTACTTTTGAGGAATATTAAAAAGTCTGTTAAAAAAAACAGCATCTGAGCAAGTTCCAAAAATACTCTAGTACCAAAAACATTAGTCTTACTAAGTATAAGAACTGCAGAATTCCTTCCATGATTCTAAGAGTCACATTAAGACTAGCACGGAAGTGTGATCTGAAATGGCTGTAATTTCCTTATGAACAATATCAATTAGGATGCTGGCATAAGACTGTATTCAAGATACTGGCAAGCTGTTAGAATGGTAAGTACCTTTTTCACTTCTCCAAACCAGAGAGATACCTCATCAGGCAAATAAGCAGCCGGAACACATTTTACAAAGGGGTCAATTTTGGCACTTAGGCTACAAGTCAACCCTTTACTTTCTGATAAAGAAAGAAAAGAAACCTTGTAAACAGTTAGGTCCTCAGTTTTTTAAACATATGTTGATTTTTTGTTTCTGGTATTCTTTTGACACTTTGGTGCATGGAATCTCTAAGCTTAGATGCCAAGTTAGCTACACTCTTAAAACTGAAAATTGCATAGAGCTGAAAACATTGTTAACATAAGTAAACAACTCTTTATATAGTAGAAAAGACAAATTTGAAGTCAAGCAGTACCTGTATGAATGAAGACATGTCTCTGTAAATGGTAGTTGGTTCTAAAGGCAGCATTGCAATGCTCACAAACATGAGATTTGTGGGTTTTCAGACCAAGTGATCCATCCTCATTTATTGTAAGGATCTATTTTAAAAAGAGTAAAATTTGTTCTCACACTACCCTCTAAAGATGTCTTATTAACTACAAAAAAAAAAAAAACACATTAATTTTTTCGATGCAGAAAATTAAAGTATTTCAGGTAAAACAATTCTAATTTCTACAAAGCTATGTGTTAGGATTTTAGCATACATTTCCAATTGCAGTCCAATCCAACCTGCACCTCATTTTGTATTAAAGAGATATTTCAACAAGACGGAGACAAAAGCAGCTCAGGAAAATCAACTTAAGAGCTCCCCTATTCACAGCTGGGTTACTTTATATGCTACTGTTTACTTTGTCCATCTGTTGGAATGGACATAGAGTAACCAAATCACCTCTGGGCACTGAACCACGGATGGTCATATTTTAAAGGAAAAGTAAAACATTATATTTTTTTTTTTTTCAAATTACAACTGTAAATGTTTGCTATAAGGCATTAAAACTTATCCAGGAGAGTCATACAAATTATGTTCATCTACATAATACCAGCAGTCCCAGAGGCAAAATTGTATTCTAAAAAGCAAAACCTCAAAGCCAAACAACCAAGACAATAGTATTATTCTTCTCCCCTTTCAGGTTTTTCACTCAATAAAATATTGCTCACTCAACACACATACTGAAGCATCTCCTTGACAAATTTAATTTGCCACCCCGCACTGCTCTGCTGTCAGACAAAGCTTCTATTATCATATCTAATTAAAAACTTAAACGAAAAATTTGCACCATATCTACCTTATTCAACAAAGCTCATCACAAAAATCACAAAATTTTGTCAAAAAATCCAAACCCCAAACTCTCTACTAACTCTGGCAAGAGAATAAGAAAACCAGCAAACAAATTACAGTTCCAAAAGTCTTACTTAACTGGAAGCAAAACTATAAAGAGCTTAAGTAACCTTAAATGAAACAGTTTAGTCCCTTGTTATTAACAAAAAAAATAAAAGTCTGCGGGGCAAACACATTTTCAGTTTGATTAGCTATGATGGTTTAGGTTTTATGATAATGACAGTGATGAGAAGGAGAGTCAATAACTGAAACAGTATTTCTGCAATAGTAGCAAATACTATAGGATCTACTTAAAATTTTAATTCTACTGCATCAAAACGTAGCAAGAGCAAAAGTCTCAAGCTAACAAATTCTTGTGCATTCACTCTGAAGGACAAGCACATTCATACGTTTGTAAGACTGGTATGTTACAGCTCCAATAAGTCACAGATACAGGCAATTACAAAAACTCTGTTCTGTAACAATGTACAGCTTATGAAACACTGACTGGTTATGTAAAATCAATTTAAACACGTTATGAAATGCTTCTTGTATATTGAAATTTTTAAATAATTGTGCAGAAAATACACTTAATTTCACAGTTATCCTAACCCTGGGCTCTTCTACTGCATCCATTCATTGTACTGCCTCTTAAACGAAGTAAGATAACTTTGTCAGTGCAGTTTTCCTAGTAAAAGCAACAAAAAAGCTTTTATGTATGTATGTGGTGTGTAGGTGTGTGCGCATGCATGTTGTGTATGTGTGTAAGCATGTGTTTGGGTGCATGGAAAACTACATAGGATAAAAGCTGATGAGTTTTTTATATGATGACTCCATTAATAGAAAATTTAAGATGTTTCAGTATTTTAATTGACTTCCATTTGTAAAAGCCCCAGCTGCTCTTTGGATGGAAAACCAACCCCATCACTCTGGGAATGCTAACTTAAACTGCAGTAGAGTCTCACCTACATCATCCCTTCAGCTTCCTTCTGGCCTTTTTACTCTGCTAATTTTGAAAAAAAGGGGAAGAGAGGCTGAAAAAGAACCTGTTTAATGATTCGCCTGATTATTTTTCAATCTTTTTGTCATCTCAGAAGACTAGCACTGACAGACTGGGAGGTAAAAAGGAAGCATGCAAGTACGCATCTGCAGAAAGAGAAACACATGCCTCTCCTACCTTGCCATGTTTCCATGGAAGTGATCTGTGGACATACTCAACCTACATCTCCTTCTTCTACCAAAGCCATGCATGGGATTTGGAACCTGCTTCCACACCCAATCTGAAACAAGGTCTCAACTTTCCAAGAATACTACAGATGCAACCTCATTTGACAATGCTTTGAGGAGGACTGAGGGGTCCCACTCCTAGGCCAACAAAAAGGAGGTTGGGGTGTTTTCCTGGCATTCAGGTGAGTTTTCCTTCAATGTATACACAGTCTGGATTGATTTCAGAGTTAAATTTCTTTTAATGCTGCTGCATGATAACATATAACTGATTTTTGCCTACCAGAGCAGCCTGTATATGCTCTATTTTAAGCCTGAAGATTAATACTGATTTGGGGAATTACTAGAAGATATAACACTGCTACCTCATGAGGTGAAAAGATTCTGGGTTTATCTGAAGTGCATCTCAATAGAAGAAAATTGTTTTCAGACATACTGGGATACATACTCTTCATGAATGGATCTACAAAAGAAATTTTGAAGTAACAAACCAGCAGCTATGGTAAGAATCTTTTGATATAAAGAAATACATATATGAGGATGATTATGACCACAGGAATAATCCCTACTGGTAAATTATTTTTTATATATTATTAAACTTTTTAGAATTTTCAAAACTACCATTTTAGATTTCTTTTTAAAATCTTTTCAGTACTATGCATGAAGCATATAAAATTATCAGGCTCACAGAAAAGCACAACTATTATTAGATAGATACAGAGTAATGATTTATAAACTGTATACAAAGCTACTCATAATTTAAAAAAAAAAATTATTTGGAGAGAGAACTGCCTGGAGAGACAGATGTTAAAATATGGCAAGGGTTCATGTTGCTAAAAAGAGTTCAAAGAAAAACACTGTTATATCAGGTTTTGGTTTGGGTCTCTGGTGAACTTCAGAGCTGCATCTTTACTGAGCAAACAAACAATTTCCAGCCTAACTACTTCAGTAATGAAATTAGTCATAGTCAACCAAATCTTCAGGTTCTTTTAATCTTGGTTTTGCCAAATCAATGTCTTACTTTTGCTGGTGAACGCTGTTTTCTTTTCTTCTTTTTCTGCAAATCTACTGGCTCTCGTATTTGTTTTTTGTCTCGTTTCTGTTGTTCAGATGCATCAGTAAAGGTAATTTCTTGCTTTACACTGATCTGTTAAGATACCAAGTGCCAGTTTCAGGTAAGGTTCTCACTACAGAAAAGCAATTTTTCAATTTTAGAAGATGACAAACTGCTGAAACAGAAAACCTTTTTTCTAAGGGAATTAATCTCGTGGCTTCATTCTTTCAGATATTTAAGTGAAAGGAATAAGAAGTGCCTTAAATAAAAAAAGGGCATAGTTAATTTCTACAGTGACATTTTGATGTATCCCTTCATTCATCTCCCAAGGTCTTTTTTCCTCCTGACCTGTGGTGATTTTGAGATCAGTTCTCATATTAAAATCACTTCCATCTGTAAAACCATCCAGGTTTTCACACCTATTTTACTTTAGTCCGTGCTGTTGTCAATGCAAGATTTAAAGGAATAGTTTATTACATATTTAAGACAAAAGTTGGTTTCTTTTAAGGAAAAAAAAACCAAACAAATAGTACTAATGAAGTTTTTGGGGGAAAGAAAAAAAATCTTGACCTAATGTAGACTTTAATAAAGAGCATGATACTCTTACATTTTTTTCTAACACCTCAACCACCTGATATAAGAGAGTAGTGTTTTAACAATGCTACCTTTCTGAGGATTGTTCTTCGTGTGTATGGCTATCTAATATTAAAGTCCTGGTAACTCTCCTTTATGTTTGAAGGGTAACAGTGATGATGTGCTACATTACATCAGATGCTGTTTTCAGAAGGAAGTCATTACATTCTCTCTGGGAAAGCTGAGGTATACCTTCTATCAGGTATTGAGGAAGGGAATATTTATGGTCATGTATGAAGTGTCACAGTCCAACCTGCAGTGTGAATGCAATTGCTAAGCGTCCACATACTTTGAAAACATGCAAGATGCTTCCTATAGCAAAAGAAACTAAACAGTACTATGAACAGCATAAACAGTATTCACCTTTTAATAATGCTATTTATTCTGGTTTGTAGTTACCCTTGAACATTAAATATATTTAAAGGAGCACATTTTAATGCATTTATTCTATGGTTAACAGCCTGCTCATAAAATATTTATAAAACAGATACTGAAAGATTATGCTTAATTGGCAAATTTATCCACGGCCAGAAGCAAATGATATTTTCATAAATAGCATTCATTCATAAATATTTTGATAATCAAAATCCGAACAAGCAATTAATAGATTCTTGCCAGAGTAGGATTAGACTACCAGATCAAGCTTCCTAGTAATTTCTCCAATATTTCACAAAGAAATTGCTTACAGGGACATTAACAGCATACTGCAGCCCTTGAGGAAGTCTATCTTGCGCATCGATGTCATCATCATTTTTTACCGTCTCCTCATGGACCATGAGTTCATCATGTGAAATCATCTCTTGCTGTCGAAGTTCACTCTCCTGTAACACTTCATCTGCAGCAAGAATTTCTTGGTGCGCCATAGTCCGATCTTGAAGCACTGCCTCTTGCCGTTCCGACACTCCAGACTGGTCAGATACTGCACCCATCCCTACCATAGCCCTGGATGATTGCATCTGGTCTATGCCACCACATTTAAGAAATAATCCTCCCAGCTTGTCTTCAATGTTCATTCTTAAGTGCAATAACCTACAAAGAAAGTTTTGATAGTAAACATCTACAATTGGTGCTCTTGCTTTAAATTTTTTACTTAAAAACATTTTATAAAAACTCAGTCAGCATCCAACATACACACATGCACTCCTAAAACTGACAGCTGACTAAAAGCAAAAAGTTGGACATCTTAGTTCAACATGGAAAGATTCTCCCTTCACATGCATGCATGTGTACACAATTGAACACTTTCAAACAAAAAGTTCAAAATCAAAGTGCCTTTTGATTACTGGCAAAATTCTGGTAATTAAGCAATAGATAATTCTTCCTTCTCATTCCTCAAAAATCTGTTGGGTTTTTTTTCCTGTGTGCCCTTTTTACTCTGCTCCCTTTTTCCATTTTGACTGTCTTTTACAAATGCTTCTTTCATATTGGTCATGTTCTTCCTACTTCCTTGTCCTTTAAGTGCCCTTTCACTGCTGCTACCCCAGGGCATACTATAGCTGCTGGAACATCTTTATATCCACTACAAGTGAGGGAAAATTGGCTGCATCAAAAGAAGCGTGGCCAGCAGGTCAAGGGAGAGCACTCTCCCCCTCTACTCCATTCTGGTGAGAGCCCACCTGCAGTGCCACATTCAGCCCTGGGGTCCCCAGCATAGGAAAGACATGGACCTGTTAGAGCAAGTGCAGAAGATGGCCATTAAAATGACCAGAGAGTTGAAGCACCTCTTCAACTGAAGACAGGCTGAGAGGGTTGGGGTTGTTCAGCCTGAAGAAGAGAAGGCTCTGGGGAAATCTTAGAGCAGCCTTTCAATACCTGAAGGGGTCTTACAGGAAAGATGGGAACAAACATTTTAGAAGGGTGACAGGACAAGGAGTAATGGTTTTAGACTAAAGGAGCTACTGTAGATTCAAACTAGGAGTAAGGAAGAAATTCTCTACTGTGAGTGTGGTGAGGCACTGGAACAGGTTGCCCAGAGAGGTGGTGGATGCCCCATCCACAGAAACATCCAAGGTCAGGCTGGAAAGGGCTCTGAGCCACCTGATCCAGTTGAAGACATCCCTGCTATTTTTTTGGTGGGGGGGACATGACATGACAATAGACGACCTTGAAAGGTCCCTTCCAACCCAAAGCACTCTACAATTCCATGAAAACACAGCTTTCTGGCTTAATGTATATGTCAAATAAAGATTACAGAGAGGTCAAGTGTGTTAAGTGTGTTTATAAAAATGGCATTTACTTTCACACCCACTAAGCAGGAGCATTAGTCAGGAAATACGAATTCCAGTCATGAATAGCAATACCATTGCATTGACTTCTGGCATACAGATATAAGATCATAATATTCCAACAAATGGCATGACATTAATTGCTTTTTAACACACGGTGGCAGGCTTTTGTGAAGCTGGAATTGGCAGCATCTTCTTGTTCTACTTATATATGCAAGACAGTCTTAAGGCCCTCCTCCTTGGCAGGAAGCTGTCCTATTGCTCCTAGTGGCTGTCCAGTCACAGCAGTCAGCCTTCTTCACCTTACTGCCCAGGCCAGTTACACCTAACCATTCCACAGTGCTCTGGTCTACTGACAGACAGACGGACAGACAGACATCCTCCCTCCATCCCTCTATCTTCCCACAGCTGGAGAGTAAAAATTACACAAAGGCTACAGCAGACACAAGGATGAGAGCAGAGGCACAGTGGAGTTGGACAACACACAGCAGGGCTAGCCAAAGCATTAGATACGTCTCTTTGGGAGTGTTACGATTTTGATGCACTCAGAATTATGACAGTGATCTTAGTATGCTGTTATTCATCAGCTTCAAATTCTGTCCCCCTCAGAGTGCAGCACAGTGAAAGACTCCATCCACTCAAGTTTTAAGCCAGAGGCTATGCTGCTTTTCCTGCAGCTCTCGATGATGACTCATAACCAAAGAAATCAAGTCTCTCTGCCTAGAACTGGCAGGGCCATCACCATGCAGGACTGCAATATCATAGCCTCCTGCCAGTTGCAAAAGGCAACACGCAAAAAGACTGGATCAAACAAATGGGTAAATTTCAATTTTCGGTATTCTTCATCACGAAAGTCTTCTGAAAATTCTCAATGATCTTAAACATCTGTGAAGACTTTCATATATATATATATATATACACACACACACACACACACACACATATATATATATATATACAAAGCTACACTAAGTTTAGAAAATAAACAGCAGTCTTGTCAGGTGAGACCCTAGAGTACTTAGCAGGAATGCAAGCCACCAGCAGAAACAGCTGAAAGATCCCAAAGTTCTCCTTAATTATACTTTTGTTTCAAATACTACTATTAGTTCTTAACCTTCCAAAAGTAAAATTCACTGAATTTCTTAAAAACAACAAAGAAAGGAATAAACCAACCCACCACACTCCCCAACAAATAATCAAAACCAAAAAAACCCGACCATTAACACCTTCCGGTAGCAACTCCTGTCATACAGCTTGAAAGTGAGAGAACATTTGTCCCTGTTCTCTATTGTGACTGGTTCTAAATTTCTGGATATATCATAGAAAGGCTGACAGACAATGTTCTGACTTCTCAGAGTTTCAAATACTTAAGAGGCACACTGAAGAAAAGCTTTTCAGATGACTGGTATCTTTCCAGTAAGCCTTCCCCAGCTGGAAGTCAGGAGGTCAGAGTCACCAGGCTAAATCTCTTTATATGTGTCATTGTCATAGAAAACTTTAATATTCTTACTTTCTAGGTAAAAAGCACATTCTAGGGAGCAAACATGCCTGTGGCATGAGGACAACATGGGGAAAATTCCTGTTCAGAGTATTTATGCTTGCAATTTGTCCTTTTCTGTTCTTCTGCAGTTCTAATGTAAAGAAGTTTGAAATCTTGCTCTTGCTTTTCACAACATCTGACTTCAAATACAACAATTCCTTAATGCCTTGAATGAACTCAGGTAGTGCTAGGTAACAATCCACTTTATAGTAAGAGAACGAGACTTCACATGCCTTCAAGGGAAAATGCATGTCCAGTATGCCACACAGCCACATGCAGACATTATATAATCCACGAAGTATTTTTTTGAGGTAACTGGGAAACTGTACTGATAGTTTCTCAGCAATATCACAAACAAACAAACAAAAGAAAAACCCTGGCACAGCGCTAACGCTGTATTTTTTCCACCAATGCAGATCTCCCAGAGAGACCTTGCAACAACATCCTAAAAGAAGAAAATGAGGATGAATATATCGCCTTATCAATGTGGAATATCCTGTGCCAAGTAAGAAATGCGAGAAGGAACTGATGTTCTTAATCTGTCTCCCATGGAGCCATTATTTGCTGAGAGATGGTGCAAACTATCTAAGGTTGAGACTGGTTTCTTAGGTAGGGAATTTTAAATATGTGGCTTGAAAGAAAGATAGGCTCCAAGGGAAACATGCAGATACATTTACTTATTTCAACCTTTATCCCAAATTAACCCACAGTCAGGATACATCTCAGATTGTCATCACTATGCTTTTGCTGCACACTACAGGAATATGACAGCGTAAGCTCACTGCAGATTCTTTAGAGGAATGACGTAGACAGGTACTAGAATACAAGAACTCAAGATGCTGAAACACATTCAAGGGAGAACAAACAGTATAAAGTGTGAGAACATGGTGGCCCTAATCTGTCTGCTCAAGCCACAGCACAGAAGGTTGTTCCACATGGAGAATACCACCATATCATTCTGAAATTAGGTATAGATTGTGGGAATCATAGAAGAATCATAGAATAGTTAGGGTTGGAAAGGACCTTAAGATCATCAAGTTCCAACCCCCCTGCCATGGGCAGGGACACCTCGCTCTAAACCATATCACCAAAGGCCTTGTCCAACCCAGCCTTGAACACTGCCAGGGATGGAGCATTCACAGACTCCCTGGGCAACCTATTCCAGTGCCTCACCACCCTAACAGGAAAGAATTTCTTCCTTATATCCAATCTAAACTTTCCCTGTTTAAGTTTTAACCCATTACCCCTTGGTCCTATCACTACAGTCCCCAGTGAAAAGTCCCTCCCCAGCATCCCTATAGGCCCACTTCAGATACTGGAAGGCTGCTATGAGGTCTAATCCTGAGCAGACAAAGCAGATAGAGAAACCGAGTGTTTAATAGTGCTACTCTCATCAACACAGGCAGGAAGACTCACAACATGCAGAATCTTAGGGCAGCTGGCAAGATACAGCAGCTGCCCAGAAGACAGGCTAGTAACGTACTGGTATTTACTGGTCCTGTTAGTTTTCTCAGTTGCAAGGGATATGGAAACTTTTTTGTACTCATTCTGACTAGTTAGCTTAGCAGAGTCATGCAAATGAAAGCATTAAAGTTGTTTTCCAGTTATGATCTTGAGTCATATCAGAAGCTGGTACAGTAAGTGTACTGCTTATTAAATCAGGCTTTTCGTAGAAAAATGAGAACTCAGCATCAGGCTGCATATTCTAAGTGATGAAACACAATGTAAGCTATGTGACACGCAGGTACTGTTTTAAAATGAAAAACCACCAACAAAAGTAAGCTATTAATCCAACAAGAAGCATCCCAATTGCAATCAATTCACTAAAACACATGTAATTTGTCAAGTGACACCTTCTGGCTCACATAAAAGGATTGCTATCATTTAAATTGAATATGAGGAGAAGTGTTCTTGGAAGAATGACAGTGTGATAAAGAAAATGTAAGTTAAAAGCATTCAAACAAGCTCGCTTTACCAAGCCTGCAAAGATTAGACAAATACTTTAAGTGCAAGATGAATCTGCGAAATAAAGATCAACTTATTTTGATATTAACTTGAAGGAAGCTACAATAATACAAACCATGTATACATAAGCACATTTCTTGGCATAAGACATTGCAATCCTTATTGCAGAGATGAATTCCATGGAATTTCAGAATTTCTATTAAGCTTCACAAAATGATCATATTATTTTTCTTTGAATTTCTAATTCCTCTATACACTGACAGAAAAAGAGCTGTCAACAAAAACTTTAAAGTATCCTT